CACACACACATACAAGCACAAATGCCTAAATCGTACAAGAGCCTAGCCTATGGGTCTATTTCATTATCATGTTTAAATAGAAACTATTCTGAATCTGATGTACGGATTTCTTTCTTGTACGGATATGTGTCTTTGGGCCAAGTTTCTTCAATATATTTGAACACATTAATTACAAACGATGAATAACCTAAACTTAAATAACTTAATAACAAAAACAAAACAAAGAAACAAGATAAATTCAACAAAATAGGAACGCGAGCGCAAACGACGAGAGAGCTGTCAATGGCGCCTGATTAACCGACTAAACGTAATACACGCTACTTTCATTGTCGCGCTACATCTTAATTGTACTCTTTAATTTGACAACATTGTCTAATGCTTCGTTCATAAAGAAAGGTTTTGGATACCTGGGATTTTAGGCTCTTTATGGTGTCTATTGTAATGAAATATTATATTATTTAATAAATGTTATTAAATTATTATGCTCAAGCAGATATATATATTTACTAAGAAATAAGTGAAAAGGAACAGAAACATAACATTTAATAGAGAAAACTGTCGTAAAAATGGAAACAATTTTATTTTCTTATAAAGTATTTTGAATTATGGAAATGTCAACTATAAAGAACTCTTTTTATGGTTTGTTTACAAATAGTTAACTACCTAAACAGACGGAGTATAGTGATAACGACAAAAATCGGTCGTAGACAGAAATTTCACATCCAGTTGTTACGTTAAAATTAAATTAAGTGATTTTCAACCTTATTACAAAAGCATAACATCACGCCCACGCCACGCAGAGGTGCACATTACGGCACTTAGCGCCACTGTACAATGTAACACTCACTTTTCACTATTTATAATACCGGGCACAATTCCAGACTCTGTGCTACTACTGAGATTTTTATAAAACCCAGCAATACTTTGCCCGACCCGAGAATCGAACTCGAGAATCCTTGCCCAGTCGCTTAGAAAAGCATTAAATTGAAAATCAATTAATCGAATTTCGGACCTAACAACCGATCTTTCGTTCTTCTACTTCTGCCCAGTCTATAAAAGTAGTCCTAACAAATTCACTATACCTAAATAGTATACCTAATATTCCTTACCCGACTTCACAGATACCATCCATGGCATAAGCAGGCTTCAGATTGGCGAAGTCAATGGACAGTAGTTGAACCGGCTCCCCGCGGCACTTGCAGGGGTACTCCCATAACGGTTGCGCTTCGATATCTGCGTCGCTTATATTGCTGGAATTCTGAGAATCAAGATTTCATCATCAGTTATTCAGTTCAGCATTTTTCTGCAAATATCGATACTGTCTAACTACTCTAAGGGACAGTAATCGATTTTTTTACAAATGATGTAATAAACGATTTTGCAATTATTGTGAAGAAAGATTTAGAAGGAAACTGACGTGAAGCAACGCTTGCGTTGTGTTTCGTCGTGTGGGTGAGGTTACCGAAGGCCCAATTACCCTCCTCTTCTCCAATCTCCCTAATTCCAGAATCCCCAACGATCCTCAAACTCCTAATCCCCAAAAAGCCTAGTTCTAGTAAAGTTCTATATGTCCATGTGAGACGCTGATTGCTTACCATCAGGTGATCCGTCTGCCAGTTTACCGGCTTATGCCATAAAAAAAACACTTGCGTTGTGTTTCGTCACAAAACTGAGGTTATCGGAGGCCCAATTAGTCCCCAATCCCTGAATCCCCAACAATCCTCAAATTCCTAAACCCCAAAAGACTGAAAACGTACTTGTAACACCTCTAGTGTTTCAGATGATCCGTCTGCTCGTTTACCGCCTTATTCCATAAAAAACCAATATAAAAATGTACGTACACTCACCTCAACAAGTTTGTCAAACACAGCCATATCAATTCCTTCACATCTTCCCAATGGTATCGCAATCTTGTGTAAATCTTGGAATTCTACGGGCATAGCCCAAATCTCACAACTGCTGGGTATGGCAGAGACACAGTTATTCAATCTACTTCTATACTGATACAAAAGGTATGCTACCTTCAAATTCTCCCAAGGCAGTATCGCACTGGGAAAATTAGGGTCCGTAACCACATTCGTAACTTGACTTAAAACTTCATCAGATAATTCAGTTATAAAATGTACATTCTCCAGCTTATTCGTGCTCACATAGTCTTGTAGAATCCCAAGGTTTAAGTTCAAGCTTTCTTGTATGTAAACGGCTTTAGCACCTAATTTGGCTGCGGCCAAACCCATGAGACTGCTTCCATTGAAGTCCAGAACCACAGATTCATTATTAATCTCTTCCTTTAATTGTTCTAGAAACTTCTTGCTTCGTCTACCATCGTTTAGATAGGATACATGGGTCCTTGACAAGGCCATGTGCACTCCGCACTCACAGTTTGGTCGCTTGTAACTCTGCCTTTTAAGTTCTTCGGTCTCTATATAAAACCAAAGTGAATATTCGTCTTGGCATGAAATTAATGTGGCTTCTTTATCTTTTTCTAGTGTAGTGGTTTGTGGTAAGTAGTAGACAGCTTGCATCCAGTGATCTCTCCATGGAACGCTGTCTTGAGGCCGCTCGGATGCCAAGTCTGCATCTGGATGAGTCCACCATGGCGCACAGCTTAAGCAGATCCTACCTAGAAATGAATATTTTTTTTGTTCACTTTCTTTTTCAATACAGTATGAGATCAGTTGATAGTTTTACCATTTACTAGATAGACATGCTATCTGCTTAATACTATTAGTACTGAAATGAAAACGAAGACCAATAATATAATACATTGCTTAATAAAAGTAAAACTTGTCGGTAATTAAGAAGCAATTTCCTAACATAGCTGGTCACAATGAGTCCGATTGATCCGATGTAATGTACACCATTTCTCTGGTTCTTATTTCAGAGAATAATAAAGGAACCCTGTAATTTGAAATCTCCCGTTTTATAATTAAAAATTACCTTCAGTATCCATATTAAGTTCCCACCACATAAAGACAACCTGCGCCTTTCCAGTGCTGCTAACGGTGAAGTCCTGCTTTACAGTCCTCTTCATGATAATAGGTGTTCTCCCTGACCAGTCATAGTAGAACACTGGGATCTGGTCTGAGAGCTCACGGAATGTGTTACGAGGTAGCTGGGATAGTTGTAAGTCATGTACTGCTGCAGAACCAGGGCAGTCAATCATCTGGAAATAAAAAGTCATTTTTAATCAATAGCATTCTTTGGTCATATATAATATTATATATAACTAGCGACCCGCCCCGGCTTCGCACGGGTGCAATATGCATGATATAAACCTTCCTTAAGAATCACTCTATCTATTAAAAAAAACCGCATCAAAATCCGTTGCGTAGTTTTAAAGATCTAAGCATACATACGGACATACAGCGAAAGCGACTTTGTTTTATACTATGTATTGATATTGTGAAGAGGTCTTGGTTGCAAGACTAACTACTTCCGCGCAATTACACCCGCTCTGCTCAGCTCCTATTGATCATAGTGTAATGTTTTATAGCCTATATAGCCTCCCTCGATAAATGGACTATCCAGCACAAAAAGACATTTTCAAATTGAATCAGTAGTTTCTGACATTGGCACATTTTAACAAACTTCAGCTTTATACATATAAAGAAGAATAGATGAAGTATTATTGGGTGCTTTAATTTTGAAATCTCATCAACATAGAGTAAACAGGGTCAGTGCTGTAATTAATTTTCATGTTTCTAATGTGAGCTGGAATAACAGCTTAGTACAATTTTAATCCTTCAGCCTTCAGGTACCCTAGTGAACTCTGTGTCAAAATACCAAAAGCATGACCATAGTCACATCATATTCTTATCTCATATGATATTTATCACAAAAAATCATACTCGAATACCATACCTTCTGAGGAGTCCTCAATACAATATCCAGGTCAGCATCAGAGAGATCATTCAATTTATTCCACTTCCACAAAGTTGGGCACTCTACAACTTGAGCATAGATCACTGCAGAGTCAGGCACCACTATACAGTCCGGTTCTAAGAGACACTTGTGTGCATGTGCAAATGTTGACAATGCTCCTGTTTAATAAACATTTATAAAATTATGGACATAAATTGACAAATTTATCTAAAGAATTTTTTTCTATTCAACCTATCAAATTCAAGAACAACAAGACAACTGATTGGACTGAATCAAGGAATAACCTTTCACCCATTACCCATTGTTCTGTAAATGGGCCTATCGGGCTTTAGGAACCAATATTTTACTAAAAACTGCACCCAAAGTTTATCATTGAAAAAATTTTGCACTAATGAAATAATAAAGACTATGCAAATCCTAGCAAACAAACAAAAAAATATTACAACAATCAGAGACCCATACCTTCACCAATCAACTCTGTATCAAAGACCTCAGTAACCAAAATATTAGCTCTCTCTTTCATATCACCGTCTTCTCCAACCGTAACATCCGTGGACCTTTTCGGTATAAGTTTAATCTTATCTGCAACTCCATTGATCTCCAGGATCTTGGCACAACACTCCGCCATGGGTTTGAAAGCTTCACATGCAGTTACGGAGTCCGCACCAGAACGAACAGCCATTATTGACAATAAACCAGTTCCCGTACCTATAAATGAATGAAAAATTTTCATTTACTGATTGTAATAAATACTTCAAATTTGTTGTGCCTTAACTGCCCAGTCCCTAAACGGTCACAGATTACCACTCTCCACTTTCTCCCTACTTATTTCAACATTTAGAGACGGCTTTTGTATGAATGAACAAAAGTATGTTGTAGATTTTTCATAATCGAGGATTAATAAGTTAAAACAAATTCATTCATGTACATTCAAAGGCTTACCAGATACTCAAAAGGTAATAAAGCTACAAACCTATGTCCAAAACATTAGCCTTCTTTCCATTACTGTGCATCTTTTCAATAGCAAGTTGCAGAGCTCTTTGATATTTCTTATTTCTCTCAGTATCGTGCAACATGTCGGCAAATCCAGCTCGCGCTATTTCCTGATGAAAATCGTAGTTTTCATCCTGTACATCCCACTCAGTACTCCCCGTAATCGGGTTCCTCTTCTGCGTAAACACTTTCATAGTGGAAACGCACGATTTGAACCTGTAATTCACAATATTTCTTCAATTTTGTTCTTTTCTAAAACGCCGACTGTTTATGCTTATTACAAACATACCTTTTCACTGAAAAAACTACAGAAAATCTACGTATACTAAACAATTGTACCAATTTCATCTATAACAACATTATTTTGAAATGAAATACGTATTTCTAAGATAATTTTACACAATACAGCACGAAACAAAAGTGCATTTTTTTTCTAACCTAGATGTCTGTGCTGTATCAGTCAGTCAGACAGTCATTTGACATTGACTGTGACAATAGTGTCAACCGTGAGACATTTTCGTTACAAAATCGAATCACCAAAATCCAAATACAATGTTTCATAGACAAAACTTTCTATAGTTTTGCAAAAGAAACACAAAGAAATTAAATAACAATAAATTCATGTGAATAAAAAGGGAAAAATAATTTCTTTGTGTATCATATGTATTTATAATTAACAAAATGTCAATAAAGTGATTACAAATGAAATAGTATTTTATACTAATGAAAATGTATGCGGCCAGTTTGTTTAAAAAATATACGTCAATAATGAAGTAAGTTGACATATATCAATAAGTAGCAATATATTTACGAGATAACTAAACAATTTGTTAATTTATATTTTTGTGAATTTTTACAAAATACCGCATTGACAATATTTTTAATGGCAGTATGACTAAGAGTTGTCAGTGGAATCAGCTTTCATTACGACGTTTTTCTATCATGGCGTCCGCCGTCGGTAGGATTTGTGGGGCACGTCTTTTGAAAAATTATGGCTTAGTGGCACCCCAGGTACTGGAAATATGTCTAAACAATTTGTTACATAGTCTAAATTATAAGTAGATACCATAGGTGTGTTCAGTATGTTACCAATGACGAAGAAGTTCAAGTTCGAAGTGTCACCGAAAACTAATGTATTTTATCAATTTGTGCCGTACCATGAGCCTTGTAACGTGAGAAACGTAATGACGTGGTGTTCAGGACCCTCTGGATATAAAATAATCACGAGTGTATCAAAATATTTTTTCATGGGCAAGTGATAACCTATTCGGCATTATGTAACAAGTACATAAGAAATCTAATGGAGGCTGTCCATTGCAGGTTTGTCAGCTGTCCACCGGCGCCCAAGGATGGACAAAGAACAGAAAACTGGTAAGATACATAAGCATTACTTTTAGTAAAAGGGAATAAATTGGTATTTGCCCACGTAACCTTCGCAAATACGCATTCAAAGTTAACGGTATTGATTTTATGGTGTTGTGATATTTCCTGGTGCACCTGCAGGCCTAGTATCAGTCTATTGACTGCCCTAGATTATATTTAACCTATTTTTATGTGAAAAGCTACCAAACTTGAGCAGGAAAATAGTGTACCTTGAAAAATTCCCCAAATGTCAAGCAAAAAAATGTATTGTGTAATAATAACATGTCAATGGTCTGTGCTTAGTAAATTAGGCTATAATGGCTATTATCATCATTCGAATGAGGTTTCATTAATGAAGATAAGATTGTAAATACTAAATGTCTATTAAACGCATGCCAATCGTTACAAAAATAAAAAAAAACAACCCGTGTGGACTCTTTATGTCCACTATTGAGTTATATACCCTGAACTAACTGATTTCCTGGATATACTAATTTGTAAATCATTGCATTCATAACTAAAATAAGTTAAATATGTATGTTATAACATTTATAGTTGTGGCATTCTAAAACTATGCATGGCAAGTGCATACCTATGTATTTATGTTTATTGGTACTCCGCCCACACATATTATTATAAGTACAACCTTCTTTTTAACTAACTTCACATTATAATTTTTTTTTATGTTAAGAATTTAAATAATTTACATGTTCTCTTTTCAAACAGTGGCTCTCAACAGTAGGAGTAGTTGGATCTGGTGTTGGTGCACTGCTGTTTGCTCTTGAACAGTCAGTCCAGGCTTCAGGATCAGAAGCCCATGCACCTCACCAACCTTGGAGTCACGACGGATGGTTCAAATCATTAGACCATGCTAGGTAAGTTAATTTTAAAACATTTTATATGATGTTGGCAAAGCCATCTAGAGAAGGGTTACATAGGTATCATAAAAATCTTGTTTGTGACTTTTTTGATATGATTAATAATTAAGGGAGGATTCCAACACAAGTTTATCTTTATCGGACTTTGATTTTAAAGTTTTTCCATACAAAACTGTCAGGTATTAATTTTATTCTATATGAATGATAAGGGCAGGAACACGCCATGGAATAAAATTTTTATTCTATAAAATAAAAATTATCTGTGCCCTTAGTCAATTTATATGTAACATCTATTCTGTAATCATTGTATCTACCTATGAGATGCTATTGATTGTTGGGCTTGTACAAAATGTAAAAATTCCAACTGAGTAGGTATTTAACACCTTGTTTTTCTGAGACCCAAGACTTTTTATATCAATACCTTAAGTATTTATTAGATTTAGGATTTACAGAGACTTCATTAATTTAATTACTTAAATTAAATTCTATAAAATTGATAATAATGTTTAAAGTTATCTACAAGCTTTGTGTTATCTTCACAACTCTGCAAACAGATAATCACATTTTCATCAAAATTGTTAATGTTATAGTATTGTATGCTTACATACCAACAAATCAAAGCTATGTATAGTTAAAGTGCATTTATCTAATGTAAATATTTATGTTATCAAGGAAAGATAACTTTCTAAACTATTCTGTGTATGAACGCTGCTAGTTACTGTAAAGTATCTAGAGTATTAAAGAATAACTTTAACAATGCTACATTTTTAGGATAGCGCTATTCATTGTCTATGACTGCTTGAAGATTTAGTATGATCATAGGCGTAGTCACGGTGGACCAGGGTGGGCCATTTGCCCCATCTTAGCTCAGAAAAAGAGCACCTACCCAAACATAACCGCTTGAATCCACCGATATGAGACACAGTAAAAAATACATTGTCTCTCGTGGATCCGCGTCTAGACACACGAAAGGTTAAAAATCTAAATCATCTATTAGGTAGTAACTACAAAAAGTGTTTAGTATTTACAATAAATTATATACTCGGCTGTCGTTAATGAACCAGTCTAAAACAGCAAGTATATAGTTTACCAGTTACATATTTTTTAGCAATGCCCCACCCTGAGCTCCTTGCTGGCCACACCCATGAGTATGATCTCTAACAAATAATGTTGAATGTAATCAATGAATATGTGTAACAAACATATATGTCTAAAACTCAACGCTGTTTTGAATTTCATATAAAATGCAGTAGAATGTTTGTATAGATAGTACAAAAACAATTTTGTATGACAGTGTTCGCCGAGGCTACGAAGTGTACAAGCAAGTGTGCAGAGCCTGCCACTCTCTGCAGTACATTGCCTTCCGAAACCTCGTCAATGTAACCCACACTGAAGAAGAGGCGAAGGCTGAAGCCGCTGAAGTAAGTATTCCATAGATGAGGCAATTAAGATTACTTATTGCAGATTGTTGTAATTTAACAATGTATTGATCAATAGTGTATTCTAATCCAATGATCGGGGCTGCAGAGGACAGCAGAGATATTATTTCGGTCAATAATAGTCTTACACTTCCTCTTGCCTCACCCTGGATTGAAGGAGAAATTTAATGATATTTGCCTCTCTAAAAAATTATATTATCCAATAAGATCTGTAGAGATACCACTACAATACCGGATAATGAAAATTCAAATGAGTCATTGCCATTAGATTACCATACATTGAAGTTCAGTATATTCCATGAGAAAAATTATGTAACAAATATGGTGAATTTTGTATAACATGTGCCTTGAATAACCTACCTCAATGTGGATTTTTCTGAACTGAATAAATAGTTGGCGGTTGGCCAGGTCGCTACGAACTTAATGTGTGTACTTATATTTTACATAAGTTATATTGTCATATTATAATATGTCTTGCCAAAATACAGATGCTTTGTTGCAGTGTACATGAAAAATGAAATCTATCATTGCCAAATAAAAGCAGTGTATTGACCCTAAATACATTGTTATGATTAAATCATTTATTTGTTTAATTCAAGTAAATTTAAAATAGGCATTAACTCGTCGAGTACCGTATTTATAGATACAATTGTAGAACAATAGGTTGCGGTCACCGGTGACCGCTTGGTGTTTGACAGTTTAAATGTGAAATAGGCAAATAAGTATAATTTTTTTATTTATTATTGACTCATACAGGAGATAATTATACTAATATCTTAATTACCTAAAAATCGCGTGTTACTCACGTGAATATACTGAGAAAAACTGTACTAGTTTCGAACCACAGAGGGGTTCATCCTCATGAGCAGCGTACGCGGTCGCGGCGATGTCGCGCAGCCTACTGAAGTGTATTCACGTATATTCAGTATATTCACGTGAGTAACCCGCAATTTTTAGTTAATTTAGTATGTCTCACGATAGTTATAATTATAACATATACTAGCATCTGATAATACTCTATTAGTAACACTATGTCTTAAGTTCCTGAATTTCAGTCTTTGTGAAACTTTGACTTGATTTTATTAACCACAACTTTTTCGACTATGTTCAAGGGTTCTATTTAACATCTATAATTTTGTGTAATGCAGGCAATGATTAAGGATGGCCCCGATGAGGAGGGTAACTACTTCGAGAGGCCAGGCAAGTTGTCTGACTACCTCCCGTCGCCGTACCCCAACGAGAATGCTGCTCGAGCAGCTAACAACGGTAAGATTTGCTTTTGGTTTTATTTTGACATATGTTTGTAAATATAGATTGTACACCCCACGGGTATGTTACAGTGATACTAAGTAGTCTAAATTATATAATTTTAAGAGCTGAACTTGCATCTGTGACAAACAATGCATTTGAATTTGAATGATTCGCACATACATTATAGAGTAGGTAGTCTAAATTAGCTACAAATATCAAAATCACCAATATTACAAGCTTTTATTTCATTTGTCTGTAAACAAATTGATTTTAATACTATGTGAATTATATCTTGGCAACTAAATATTTAATTTATGGAATTATCAAAAATCACAGTTTCTTTGCTCCAAGAAACTAATAATTGTAATATTGACAGTAATTTATCATAGCAGATAGCTATGCCAACACTTCTAGTATGATGATGTCATCACCATTTATGCAGACCTAAATTGCTATATAATTGTGAACTTGAGACTCAGTTACAAATTATTGTTATTTTAAAACTATTCATTCTCGAAGAGGTAGGCAGTAGTGCCCATATAATATGGTGTTACTGTACTTTGTACCCCCAAAGCCAATTTAATATTTAAGTCTAAATCATGCTATAATGGTACGGAGTAGTTTTAGTTTTTTCAGAAAAGCGATAAAATAAAATCTGTTTAAAATATACCTATTACTTCTCTGGTGATAACCTGCACTTACATACATTTAGTACATCGGACTGCGTGCCAGAAAACGAGCACTAAACCGTGGGCGTATACGAATTTTGTAAATAGACAATCTAGGCTAAATACATTTGCTACATAATACTGCAGTTACTGCTCGTTTAGCAGTAATTTCCCTAAAAGCTTTCACTTTTTTAGATGAAATTAGCTTCATGTTAATTATTTAACTAATTCGAACAGAAAACGTTTTTTTTTTTTTAACGTTGCCCCACACTAGGATTATCTCCTGCGTTTACAAACATACAAGTTCACATACACATGACACCCAGACCCGAAACAACAATTTGTGGATCACACAAAGTGTTGTTCCGTGCGGGAATCGAACCCGCGACACGTTGCACGGCAGCCGGTTGCCCCGCACCAACCGTGCAGAAAACGTTTAGAAGCATATAAATGTGAAATTAAGTTATTTGACATCAATCATATTCCTTTTTTTTAATTTTATTCTATTTCACTCAGGCTATTGTTTCTCATATAGATTGTAGGTACCAGACAGGATCAACAAGATAACAATCCAATCATAGTAGATTTAATACATTCCAATAATCCAGTGGTTATTATAATGAGTTTGAATAAAAAAATATAAAAAAACATAATATATTGAGACTGAATTATAACAATACGTGTTACCCACTATTCAGGTGCCTATCCTCCCGATCTGTCGCTGATCTGCTCGGGTCGTAAGGGTGGAGAAGACTACATATTCGCTCTACTCACTGGCTACATGGACGCTCCCGCTGGCGTGGTGCTCCGTGAAGGACAGAACTACAACCCGTACTTCCCCGGCGGTGCTATTTCGATGGCCCAAGTACTTTTCGACGAGGTATGTACAATAACTAAGCTGGAAAATGTGAACGTGACCTCAATGTGAATTACATCAAAATGTAATTTACGTGAATATTTATTACGTATTGTAATGACATGTGAAAATGTAATATTTCAGGCCGCTGAGTACAGCGACGGTACGCCTGCGACGGCCTCGCAGCTAGCCAAGGACGTGGCGACGTTCCTCCGATGGTGCTCAGAGCCGGAGCTAGACGACAGGCGACTCATGACCATCAAGGCCATCGGCATGTTCTCCATGCTGGCCGCTGTCGCCTACTACTTCAAACGACACAAGTGGTCCACACTCAAGTCTAGAAAGCTAGCCTACAAACCCGTCTCTAAGAAATAAACCGCCACCAAAACAACAGTAGTATAAACAAACGTTTTAGACAATTTTTTTTCGATAGGCACAGTAACATGTTATTTGTTTATATTATTAAATTAATTTATTTTATATTTGATCGCGTTTATTTCTTTCCTCAAGTTTCGTAATCATGTTGCTTCGTCGTGACCGCTGTTACCATACGTATAAGGGGTACGCATCGTGTGGTGATAGGAGACTAGCCTCGGGGTGCGCTACTGTGTAATAATAATATTGATTGATAGAGCATTTCGTCATCGCGTATGTTGGATGATGTAGCACAGTGAAATTACTTAAATCTAGGTAATCCGATTATAACTGTGCTTGTGATTTTCCATTAAAGTTATAACTGTGAATCAGTGTACAGTTGAATAAATGAGTTATTGAAAATCAGAGTTATTGGACTTTTCATTAATATTTGTTTCAAATTCCGTTTCCTTTTCCTCATAAATTCCTGTACTTGATCCCTAAAATAATACATAATAATATAATAAAACGAGCTATTTCCCGCGTGGCGTCATCCGCTGCTCGGCTCTTATTGGTCATAGCGTGATGTTTTATAGCATTCCTCGCATATAATGATATATGCGCATACCAACATACATAATTATTTAAGTTGGACCAATATTTTTATATTATTATTTAAGTTATAAGCTGAAGCTGAACTGAACGTTCAGCTAAATTAATTAAGTAAAAACAACAAACAGGGTTTATTACTATAAACCCTGTTTTAATGTAAACAAGTACCTACGTAGTCATCGTCAGATTTATGGGGACATTGAGGGCAGTTTTGGAAATTGGCAATTTTTATATTGATTTCCTATGATGAGACGAAATGAAAAGCACTGTTAACGTTCAAAAATCCGTCCAATTATATAAATAACTATTGGCTTCTTTGATATTTGTCATTTTATATAACCAAGTAACAATGATATAAACTAGTATAGAAACTAAATGTTTAATAAATTTGCGGCACGGAAAGTGTTCCAATCGCCCATTTTTATAATAATATCAAAATAAAGCTGACTTCGCCTAAGATTTCGAAGCATCACAGCTTGAGCAATTTGATCAGCACTCAGAGGCATTATGTTCTAATTCTGAAATCATCAATAGATTTATGTAATTACTAGCTGTTGCCCGCGACTTCGTCCGCGTAGATTAATGACTTCTGACAGAATTAACCAGAATCAATTCAGTGCCCAAGTAAGACTTACCTATTTAGAAATGATTTATCGTAGTTTCAATAAATAAATAATCCTGCAGGGATCTTACCAGTACAGTGCCCGATCACGTAAGGTTTGAGTAATAAAAACTATTCTATCGACTATTGTTGTACCGAATCTCTCTAGAATAAGTTCAGTGGTTAAGAGTTAGAGAGTCCTGGGGCATTGACGCATAGTTCCCGTTCTCGTGAGACATCTGTGAAAAAACTATCATACGTTACCCAGGTCCTAAATCATTGTTTTACCGAATGTAATTCAAAAAGATTCAATGATTCTAAATTCAACGGCTAAGAAGATTTATACAAACTCTCATTCCCTATTTTATCCCCTTAGGGGTGGAATTTATCAAAATCCTTTCTAAAGAGAAACCTATGTATGTATACTTTGTATACTTTATGCATGCAAAGTCTCAGCCCGATCAATTTAAAACTGGCAAAGTATCATACAAACTTTCACCCCCTATTTTACCCACTTTGGGGTGAGAATGTTCAAAAACCTTTCTAAAGGGACGTTTACGTCATAATATCCATCTGCACGCCGAATTTCAACCCGGTCGGTGTAAAACTGACAAAGCTTCATACAAACGTTCATCCCCTATTTTACCCCCTTAGGGGTGGAAATTATCAAAATCCTTTCTTAGCGGATGCCTATGTGATAACATCTATCTGCATGTCAAATTTCAATCCGATCGATTTAAAACTGACAAAGTCTCATACAAACTTTCATCCCCTATTTTACTCCCTTGGGGGTGGAAATTATCAAAATCCTTTCAAAGCGGATGCTTACGTCATAACATCTATCTGCATGCCAAATTTCAACCTGATCGGTTTAAAACTGAGAAAGGCTCATATAAACTTTCATCCCCTATTTTACCCACTTGGGGGTGGAAATTATCAAAATCCTTTCACAGCGGATGCCTACGTCATAACATCTATCTGCATGCCAAATTTCAACCCGATCGGTTTAAAACTGACAAAGCCTCATACAAACTTTCATCCCCTATTTTACCCCCATTGGGGGTGGAAATTATCAAAATCCTTTCACATCGGATGCTTACGTCATAACATCTATCTGCATGCCAAATTACAACCCGATCGGTTTAAAACTGACAAAGTCTCATACAAACTTTCATCCCCTTTTTTACCCCC